GATATGGAATGGCAAAGGACACACTGACAAAAGAGATTAATCAGAACTGGCTTTGACAAGCACTGTGGCAATTGGACAATTAAAACAGACATTCGGGAGTGGGGGGTAAGAAGAACGAACTGGGGAGGAGGGTAGAGAAAACAGTGCAACAATGAATGAATGAAAACCCAAAATCTCTGTAAATGTTCATTAAACTAATAAAATTTAATAATAATTTTTTTAAAACTGAGATTCTTGAATGACACAGGAAGCATCATGGAAGGTGCTCGCTTCAGCAGCACATATACTAAAATTGGGACAATACAGAGAAGATTGGCATGGCCCCTGCACAAGGATAACACACAAATTCATGAAGTGTTCCATATTTTTAATATTCATAGCAGCATTATTCACTATCACAAGAACATGGAAACAGCCCAAATGTCCAACCACAAACTAATGGATTGTGAAATTATGGTACAATGGAATACAATGTAGCACATAGGAGCAATGATTAGGTAAATTATTACCTAACTTGGAAATACTGAAGAGCATTATGCTGAGTGAAATCAGTACCACAAGGATAAATATTGTATAAAATCATTGTTGTGGTATGAATATAAGGATCGAAGGGGGTGGGAGAGGGTGGAAGCAGAGGGATGAGGATGTGCAGGGGGACTGAGGGATTAATCACGGGAAGAAGTATCAGCTACACTGATGGCACTGGGAAAAATAAGACCTCAAGAATGGATAGAATACGAGTTGAGGTGTTTCAGGAACAAATGCAACCCAAGACATGCTCAGCAATCTCCACCAACAAATATGAAAGACAGTAACCTAGCTAAATGATTCAAAGAGATCCATATTTGTTCTCATTGCCTAGAAGGATGATCTAACAGAATGTAGAAATTACTGAACTGTATCATTAATAACACATGCAAGTAAAATCTTAAAGAAGATTCTTTTAAAAAGAAACAATAAAACAAAAATCATCTCAAACTGCCATACTTTCAAGCTGGATGAAAAAAAGGCCATAGCACCAGGGATGTCAATGCTGGTGTCTGATGGATCTTGGCTGAGAGCCAAAAATACCAGAAAAATGTTTGTTTTGTTTTATTGATTATGCAAAAGCATTTTTTTCTGTGTGGATCTTAGTAAATTATGGCTAACATTGAGAAGAATGGGGATCCTAGAATACTTAATGATCATGCAAAACATATACATAGACATAGTTACTGCCATCTACTCAGCTCAAACTCATGGTGACATATGTATCAAAGCCAAAGTCATTGCCACGCATTTGGAACTGACTCACAGCTGACCCTTCTGTTGGTTTTTAGAGGCTATAGTTTGCATGGGAGAAGACTGTCTAGCTTCAAAAGTGTATTGTGTGCAGGGAGCTCTGGTGGCCTGTTGTTAGTAGGTGCCATAGAGTCGAGTATGACTCACAGCGACCCTATGAACAAAAGATCTGAACCTAGGCCTGTCCTATGCCATCTTCACACTCCCTGACACACAAGAGCCCAATGCAGCAGTCACCGTGCCAATCCATCTGGCTGAAGGTCTTCCTCTCCTTCACCAACCTCCACCCTTCCCAACATCATGTCCCTCTCTAAGGAATAGAACTTCCTAGCAATATTTCCAAAGTATGTGAGGCAAAGCCTCATCATTCTTGCCTCCAAAGAGCACTCCAGCTGCATGCTTTTCAAGACATAGCTATTCATTTTCTTGGCCATCCATAAGATGTTCAGTGCTCTTCTCCAACACCACAGCTCAAAGGCATCAATTCTTTTTCTGTCATCCTTATTCGTTGTCTAGGTCTCGGATGAATAGCTAGTAATTGGAAAAACTATGGCCTGAATCAGACTCACCTTAGTCCTCAAACTGGCATCACTACTCCTCAATAATTTGGAAAGATCCTTAACTAAGGATTTTCCCCAGTGCAATGCATCTCCTTATTTCCTGACTGCTCGTACCAACAGTGTTATCTATGGGTCGAAGTAAGTTGAAGCTATTGACAGTTTGAATCTCCTCTCCATCCATCATGACATGGCCTATTGGTCTAGTGGTAAGAATCTTTGTTTACTTGATATTGAGACACAATCCATACTAAAGGCTGCGTTCCTTGATCTTCTGAAACAAGTGCTTCATGTCTTACTTTAAGCAGGTAAAGTTGTGTCATCTGCACAACGCCAGTTATTGATGAATCTCCCTCCAATCCTGATGCCACATTCCTCTTCATAAAGTCCAGCTTCTCGGAGAATTTGCTCAGCATATAGACTGAACAGGTACCACGTTGTGGTACTACCACACCTTATTGAAGGCATTGGCAAAAAATAAGGCCCAAGGAAACTATGGGGTACCAATTGACTTGTATCAGTTAATAGATGTAGCCTTGAATGTGCTCAGTCTATGTCAGGAAATTTGGATGACAGCTGTCTGGCCAACAAATTGGAAGAGGTCCATATTTGTTTCTATTCCCAAGAAGAATGATCAAACTGAATGTGAAAATTATCAAACAATATCATTGATATAACATGCAAGCAAAATACTACTGAAGATCATTCAAAAAACAGCTGGAACAGTACATAGATAGGGAATTACCAGAAGTTCATGTGGGATTTACAAGTGGCTGTGGCACCAAGAATATCTTTGCTGATGTCAGATGGATCCTGGCTGAGAGTAAGGAATACCAGAAAAATGTCTATTTGTGCTTTATTGACTATGCAAAGGTGTCTTGACTGTGTGGATCATTACAAGTTGTGGCTGATATTGAGGTGAATGGATATCCCAGAACACTTGATTATGCTCATTAGGACCCTATACCTGGAGCAAGAGGCTGTTGTGCAAATGGAGCAGAGGGGCACTGCATGGTTTGGAATTGAGAAAGGAATGTGTCAGGGATGTCCATAACTGTTCAATCTCTGGTGGCCTAATGGTATATATATGCTTTATGTATTGTTGTTTTGTTGTTGCTATGTGCCATTGAGTTGCTTGTGACTCATAGCAACCCTATGTACAACAGCCCTAAACCCTGCTCTATCTCTTGCCAACCTTATTGTCTCTGACACACCTCTCTCCATTACCCTAGTGACAGAATCAATCCATTTCATTGAGGGTCTTCCTCTCCTGCGCTGTCTTTCTACCCTCTCAAGCATGACATCCCTCTCCCAGGACTAATCCTGCCTTGCAATATGTCCAAAGTATGTCAGACGGAGCTTCAGAATCCTTGCCTCCAAGGAGCAGTCTGGCTTCACCCTCTCCAAGATTAACTTGTTTGTTCTCTTAGCAGTCCATGGTATATTCAATACTCTTCTCCAGCACCGAAACTTTATGTATAGCATAACAAAATGTTGTGTTTGTCCCGTGTTATTTTTATGATCATTGGTATATTTAAATTTATTATTACAAAGTACTTGCTAACAATTCACTTAGGAAGGGTGGTAAGACTACTTTTCATAAACCACAGAAAGTACATGTTAGAAGAATATAAAAAATTCCTTTTCCACCACACCTTAATATTTGAACTAAATGGAACTCTTGACATTTTCAATAAATAGAAAAGAATTTTAATTGAAAAATAAATTGATATTACCAAATTTTACAAAAACCTTAATTTCTAAAATCATAGCTAGGCATGAATACCTGCCAGAGAAACTTGGCACAAAACCTTGCCTGAGCAGCATCATGCGAATGTGTGAGTATTAATACCATTTTAATTTGTCTTTGCAAATTCAGAAAATTTAATATAAAATATAGCAAAGCAATCACCAGAAGATAATCAAGCCAAGTGCAATACTTGGAGCACTAACATATCCAGTAATAAAACTTTTAGCTTGATTTGGAAATAGTATTTGCCATGTTGCCATTCTTTATTCTCAATTTCTGTCTTTCACTTCCTTTGCTGCTAATTCTTCTCACTGTACTCCCAGAGTGTACTTTACATTTCTTCTCTCTTAATGTTCTGTCCAGC